GGAGGGTTGCTATCATGGGTAGACCTACTCAATGAAGATTCTGGCATATCCATCAAATTCTCATAATAATCTGGACCAACATCAACACCATCAACGGCATCATCGGCGACAGACTGATTTTCATCACCAACCAATTTTGGTGTAAGAACTCAATCCAAATAAATCAAGTCTTTATTTTGAACATTTGGCTTATGGTTCGTCTCAATGTCCTCAATCATTTGATCCTCCATGAATACAACATCACGGCTTCTGACAAGCTTTTTTTTCAATAAGATCATAACACCTATAGCCAAATTCATAATCACCATAACCAATAAAAAATGCACCGTCGAGTCTTAGCATCCAACTTGGATCGCCCATCCTTAGACACATGAACAAAACACTTGCATCCGAAAACTCTGATGTGATCATAAGATACTTTTTTTTCGTACCAAACGTCGTCAGGAACATTTGTCTACAAAACCACTGTAGGAGTCAGATTAATAATGCGAGCAACTGCATATAAAGCCTCACCCCAGAAATGTTGAGGCAATTTAGCATTCGAAAGCACGCATCTGACTCTCTCTATCAACGTTCTATTCATCCTTTCAGCTAAGTCAATTGGTTGCGGAGTTTTAGAAGACGTCTTCTGATGTCGAATACCATGTTTTCGAAAATAAGCATCAAATGGTCTACGGTATTCACCTCCATTATCGGTCCTGATGCACTCAAGAAACATGAAACTCAACAAAAGCATCAAGAACTTGATCCTTCGATTTCAACACTTGAACCCATAATATTCTTGAGTGATCATCAATAAAGGTAACAAAATAAATTGCACCTCCAAAAGACTTTACCTTCAAAGGACCGCACACATCCGAATGGATCAATTCAAGAATATCTCTTTTCCTCGTAGGAGGGTGATGAACAAAAGAAACCCGTCTTTATTTTCCCACAAGGCAATGTGAACACATATCAAGCTGAGCACGTCTAACAGCAGGGAGTAAATTCTTTCTCGCCAAAGTATTGAGTCTTTTCTCACTAATGTGACTCAATCTCCTATGCCATAAGCTCGAAAAACTCCCATCCTGAACTGCATTAACACGAATCGCAGAAATAATAGCATGAAACCAATACAAACTGGATTTTTTCTTACATTGAGAAATTACCATAGAACCTTTGGTAATCTTCCATTTTCCATCACCGAAATGGCAGGAATATCCATCATCATCCAACCTACCAGTGGAGACTAGATGCAGTCGAACATCGGGAGCATGCCTCACATCCTTCAGCACTAGTGTGTATCCACTACTGATATCCAAACACACTGTTCTTGTGCCTACTACTTTCGCCAATCCATCATTTCCCATATTCAAGACTCCAAAGTCTCCCGGAGTATATGATGTGAAGAAATCCCTATTGGCAATCACATAGAATGGAGTTCCACTATCCACAACCCAACTAGTCTCATTTTGGGTAAGATGAATCCTCTCTTCTTCATACACAATGACAAGATCCTCCGGCATTGTCTTATTCACACGATCATTGCTCATATCATCATCTTTATGCTCATACTTGTTGTCCTTGCCTTTCTGCTCATTTTTCAACTTGAAACAATACCTTTTTTATGTGTCCCTGTTTGCCACAATAATGACACTAAAGGTCTTTGTATTTTGGCTTTGACTTACTTCTTCCTCGACTATTTTCTCGATTCCCATGATCTCGGCCTATATTCCAACTTCTCCCCCTATTATTCATAACTAGGATCTCCGAATGAGAAGATGAAGTGCCAAGAGTCTTTCTCCTCACCTTTTCATTCAAAATGGCACTTTTGATAAACTCCAAAGTTACTATCCCATCGGGCCCAGAATTATGCAAAGAGACTCTGAAACCTTCCCATGAATCTGGAAGAGTATTAAGTAGCCATAAACCAAGTATCTCATCATCAAAATTCACTCACATGCCTGACAGCTGATCGAAACACCCTTTAAATTCATTTATGTGATCGGAAATGGACTTGCTCTCATGATAACTCAATCGCAGAGCCTTCTTGAGTAAAAATAACTTATTGTTGCCAGTCTTCGAAACATATAAGCTTTTCAGCTTGTCCCACAATGTTTTGGCATTGGTCTCATTCACAATGTGATTCAAACATTGTCCTCTACCCATTGCTTTATGAAACCACATACTTGTCGATGCTTCAATTCTTAATCTGCATCACTAGTTTCAGCATCAGGCTTTGCCACAGAAAACACTGACCCATGTAGCTTCTTCACATGTAGAAGATCAATTATCTTCCATTTCCAACTATGATAGTTTGTTCCATCTAAGCAAATCATTCTTCCCAAGTTCACATCTATCATTCAATGGTAAATTACACTCCCAAACAAAATTGCTCTGATACCACTTTATGTTGAGAGAATACCGGAAGAAAAATAAAATGCAAACCAAAATCAGATTCGATGTACTCCTTAAGCGTAGTCACGCCTAAGCAGGGTATTCAAACTGTTCCACTAAGACCTTTCCCTTCAATCAATTCTCCTTTGTGCCAAAGTACGATGAATGATAACCACCAATAAACAACGGGAATAATAAGAGGAGACACCAAAACTTTTAACGTGGAAAGCTCCTTCAAAGTGAAGGATAAAAACCACGAGGCCTACCACCCGACCCAAGGCAAAATTCACTATATCAAAAAAGTTCGTACAATTAAAAATTACCACAACCAAAAGGGCTATCAAACTTTACACACAATTACAAGAATCGAACCTCAATCACAAGAGATCTCCCAACTACTAACAACCTATTCCAATCCTCAACCAATAAGATTCAAAATCGAATCCAAATAGATAGTGAAAAATCAACGATACCAAAAAGAACATCCGAAGATGACGAGACCGTTGATCGGAACCGAGTTGAAGAAATTCTCTCTTGTTTGTCAATTCTCTCACGTGCGTGGATAACAATTGTCTCTCTCAAACCCTGCACTCAATTGACCCCTCTCCCAACTATGACGGCTATGACAACAATTGGCAAGAGTGAATTCTTAACTCTTTTGGGCTAATTTGAATTGTTAGACCTCTACACATAGAAGAAACCCAAACTCAACGTATACAACATGTTTTTTCAAAGTCTATTTATTTGGATTTTGATTTTAATATATTTACCATGAAATTATTATAGTGTTATATAAAATACAATAATTTTTCTATGAAATATTACATTCAATTACTATTCGATTAAAATGCAAAATTAAAATAAAAAAATTAATTCCCAAGCTAAAAGACATTTTAATTATATATATTTAAATAAAATCATGATTGAATATAATATTTTCTATAGAAATTATCGTAGTTTCCTTAAAAATGATGTAACTTGGAGAGTAACAACTTATATACATATATATATATATAGAAAAGGAAAAACTTAAAAAAGAAACATTGCAAAGTTTTTATTTAATATTTTACTATAACAAAATCAATCAAAAATATCAAAATATTTTGGAAACTGATATAATTAGGTTGAATATTTAATTGATAATTGCATATTTTATTTTTAATAGTATTTATTTTTTAATAGTTCATTCATGTGATATAAATATGTTTATAATATAATATTTTTAATGTAAAATTAATTTTTAATCCTCCCTCCGTTTTAATTCAAACGTCTTATTTTATTATTTTTTATCAGTTTTAAAATAATTGTCTCATTTTTATAAATATTTATATCATTATAAAACTATTACTACTTATTCATTAGTATTACATAAATACTACTCCTCCATCTCACATATCATATTTTTCATTTTTGTTCGTCCCACATACCATGTCATTTTTCTTTTTGAGAAAAATATTTTACGTTTTAATCATATTTAAAATTTTATAATTTATAGTAACTTATGAAATTTTTATTAAATTAATTAGTTATCTTAATCTTAATATAATCTATAATTCTTTTTAGTATATTGTATTTAATTTTATTAATACATTTTTAATTAGGGTAAATTATATAACACATTTTTGTATTTTTAGTAAAAATGCACAAAATACCCTCTATTTTATTTATTGCGTGAAACCCTGTTAATCTAAAATTTGCACGAAACACCCCTTGTCCCAAACTGATGTTCGATTCTAAATAAAAACCTAAATTAAGCATGTTTTATACAAAACATTTTCGAAAAATATGGATTCTATGTCATTTTTAGGGAATTTTGTACTCTCTCCGTCCCATTTCAGAGTATAATTTTTATTATTTTTGTTTGTTCTCTTTCTTCTTTTAGTAAAAGTAATTATACATTGATGCCAAAATACTCTAACTTTTATTTAAATTATAAACATACCGTTACACGTAAACTTATTTTTTATATAAAGTGTAATGACAAAACTGTCAAATCTTTTTACAATTCTAATCACTAATAAAATATTATTGTTTTAATCTAATACAAAACTCTAAATGGCCCTTTCAAAAGGAACGAAGGGAGTACAATATTTTTTGAAATACGAGATAATATTATGCAATTTTTAAACCAACGAAAAGAGTATTTTGCAAAATTTTCAAATTACACATTAATTATAACACTTTTATTCCTATAATACTCACTATGTCCGTCTAAAGGTCACATTTATCTATTACGTCATTGTATTTAATATTAAAAATATTTTTATATTTGTATACGCCTTTGTACAAATTTCCTTCTATTAGTTTTATAAGACATTAATGAAAATATTTTTACAATTTTTTCTTTTGTACTATATTTTGATATTATAATTAATATTTAAAAATCAAATAGTATGATCCAATATTTTTTATATACAAATAAATCAATTATTCATAATTATGAATAGTAAAATCCCGTGAGGAACCGCTTAGGCAATTACCATAAATCCTACTTGCCTCGTTACTCATTTGTTGGACGGCTGTAAAAATCCCATATGCGGATAGGGTTTATAACTCGAAGTCCCGGACCTCACCCACTCCCGACAGGATTCGAAGCTCCGGGACCTCGCAAGGCCTTTTTATCTTGAAGCTGCTGCAGCTTTTCCTTCCTTCCAACGTAAAGCGACGACAAATCCCCAAAAATCCATCCGCAGGTTTCGCCGAAATCCGCCGGCCAACCGGCGTGCTCCGCAGCATCCCCAAAACCTATTCCGAAACCAAAATTGAAATCCAAACCCAACAAAACCTCCCGATTCTCGCCCGGCAACAGCAATCCAGAACAAAATCGAGCAGAAAATTTGATCAGGAAACAGAGGAAGGTCGAAGGGGATGGGATTGTTTGATTTGGAGTCGCATTTTGCCTTCTATGGCGCCTATCACAGCAATCCGATTAACGTCTTTATCCACATGATATTCGTGTGGCCGATCGCTTTCACGCTCCTGGTGGTTCTGTATTTCACGCCGCCTCTCGTCGAGCACTCGCCGATTCCGTTGGGGAGCGGCGGCGCCTACTTGGTGCTCAACTATGGCTTCCTTTTGGCCTTGATTTACGCGCTCTATTACGTGAGTTTGGATAGGAGAGCGGGGGCGCTCGCCGCTCTGATGTGCTTCCTTTGCTGGATTGGGAGCAGCGCTCTCGGCCATCGCCTCGGGTTTTCCATGGCGTGGAAGGTAATTTTGGGGGCTAGGGTTTCGTGTTCTTCGCTATATTGTTAAATTCTCGATTGATTTTTGCGCGAATTGGTTTGGAAATCATGTGATTGATGGATGGGGAGATCAATTTTGATATGGATTAGTCCTAATCTGCAACTGTTTTGATGAATTGATTTCGATTCTGTTCTTGAGTTTTTGAACTGTTTGGTTGATTTTGGATTGTTCTTAGTTTTCGATCATAGAATTTTCCAACTGTTGTGGATGAATTTGGATTGTTCTTTAGATTGAATCTTATGCTGTAGTTCGAATCATGATCTGATCATGTTTGGTTCATATACTTCCCCTGAATCTTTTGCATCAAATCGGAATTCTTCAGCTCCTGTCGCAGGGGATTTTATTGTATTTGATCTTTCTTGTTTTCGCCAAAATCCTTCGAACTAAAGTCGATGTCTTCAAGAAATTCGTCGTTTTTGGTAATAAATTCAAATTTCTTATGTCCTTATGTAGTTTGAATTCAATATCTTCTCGATTATCTAGTGTTCGATGATAATCCAAGCAGTTTTCCAACATTGAAACACGGATTCGGATTGTAATTTTAGTCCCGTCTTGAACTCAAGTTGTAGAAATTTTTAGATTTTATTTTGTGAATGATTCGAGGCTTTCCCAATTTTCGGACAAAAAAAAAATGTATGTTGGGAGTCGAATTCATCAAAGATCATCTATGTTGTTGTCTTGTCAGGTTGTTCTTGCGTCGCAGATATTTTGCTGGACCTTTCAGATCATTGGCCACGGCATGTTCGAGGTATTGATCCAACCAAAAAAACATGTTCGATGATATATATATATAAGTATGTATTGTTATTCGTTTATTTTGCTACTACGTTTTGCAGAAGCGCGCGCCGGCTCTTTTGGACAACCTCACCCAAGCGTTTCTTATGGCGCCGTTCTTCGTCTTGCTCGAGGTATGTCCGAATGTTTTCATGTCAGCGTTAAGTTTATTGGTTTGATCTTTAACGATCAATTGCAATTTTTTCGTGGTCTGATTTATATTGTTTTTTAGGTGAAATAGTCGTTGATTTTGATATTTTCTAAAACATACAAAATTTAAAAAATATTAATATGTACTCATAAAAATAAAAGTTAATAAAAAGTTACAAAATATTTTTTTCTATGATACTTTTGTAATGTTCAATACTTTTTAGAACAAAAATACCTATAGAATGTTGTGTTAAACACAAAATGCTTTATTGTTTATTTAACAAAAGGATTTTCAATAACTTTTCCTAAAAAAAAAATTAATATACTACACACTTATTATTATTATACTCCCTCTGTCCGGCTACAAAGTATACATATTTCTATTTTATTTTGGAAAGTACAATTACAAAGTAACTATTTCATTAAATACCCCACATTTTTCTACAAATATCCTTGCTTTTTACCATCACATCATTACTTTATATAAAAAAATAAGGGCAAAAATATCGTTAAACTACTTTTACCGATCAACTACAATTAAAATATTATTATTTCTTAAACTCCGCGCCAAAAGTAAATGTATACTTATTGTTTGGACGGAGGAGGTATTATATTAACAATTTCCTATATATTTCATATCAAAATAAATTTTTTCAAACAAAAACACAAATTTGTTTGTGGATTTTAGTTTTTTGGGTTTGGATTTTTGAATAGTAAAAAGTTGAATTCGAATAGTTGTTTAATGTAATATTTTGAATGTTAAATAGATTTGTATTTTTAGTATAATATATATATATAAAAAAAAATAATTATTTAATGTGATATTTAAAAAAGAAAATTTTAATAGTAAAAATTTATGGTAAAACCAATACGACGTAATTTCAGAATGGTATTCTTATAACCTATTATTCTTAAATTATTAGGGTAAAGGTTTAAATTAAATATGTATATATATAAATTGACTTTTGACTTTATTCAAATTGATGATATAAAAAATTATATATACCTATATAGTTAGTATTTATATTTGAAAAGTAAGCTAAATAAAATTCAAACCTTTACTAGTAAAACTCAATGTGAACTCTAAACACTATTCACATAATTTTATTTCAAAGACTTTTGAAAAGTGATTTTGTGTGTTTTTGTATGTTTTGATAATAATAAAAATATAAATTATAATGATTGCTTCTTGTGATATAGGCATGTGTTTAATGTGAAATTTTGATATAATATAAAAAAATATATATTTAATGTGATATTTTTTTAATGAAATAAGTAAATTAATATAGATATACTGAAAATATGTATTTGAAAATACAATTGAATAAATAAGTTATTTTATTTTTATTTTTTTGGAGTCGGGTATGGACTAGTATCTGTCGGGTTGAATCGGGTTTGGGTAAGATCGAATAGAAATTGTATAATATGAAAAAATTTAGAAAAAGAAAAATTAAAATGAAGTTTTAACTTATATGATCAAATAATCATCGCCAAGTTTTACTTGATACTCCTTTCGTCCCACATAATCTGTCGTATGTTCTACATCATTTGTCTTTTTTTTCAAAAATATGATTATATACTTTAATTATATTTTAAAGTTATATTTTATAATTTTTTTAATTTTAATTAAACTATTCAGTTATTTTAATCTTAACCTATAATTATTATTACTATGCAACGATTATTTTTACTAATACACTTTTTAATTATTTACTAGTTGGCTTATAATAGACCAAATTATATACGACGTAGGGAGTACTATATATATATTATGTAAGAAAGATTTTAATAATATGATTCTTATTTTTTTTTTTTTTTTTAGTTTCTTCTTTTTTTAAAAAAATGACTATGCAATTATTACTGTTTTTATATAAAAATATTTTTTTTTAAAATATAATATTCAAACAAAAACAATCAAATCAACTCAAACTAAACTAAAAAAATCCACAAATTATTTATATAAAAAAACAAATGCTAGTAAGAAAAAATTAAAATAAAATAAAAAAATAAAAATCCCTAAGGATGTGTATTTTTTGGCAAAATTGACATAAACTTATGAATGCTTAATAATATTTCTTTTTTTTTTTCTTTAATGTGTAACATTTGAGAAGTATGAGTTATTTTTTCTTTTTTCACGTTTTTCAAAAAAATATTAATATACTACACATATTTACTATTTTTATATTCCTATACGATTCTTTATACTTCGTATTGAAAAAAATTCTTTTTCAATATTCTCACAAAACAAACACACCCATAGATGTTTTCTTGCGGCAAATACACTAATCTTAATATCAATATGATTATAGGCTTTGCAATCGGGTTTCGGTTATGAACCTTACCCCGGCTTTCATGCCAAAGTTAAAGCCAAGATCGACACCGAGGTTAAAGCTTGGAAGGACGCCAAATACAAGAAAGCTAATTGAAGGGTCGATCATATTGAAATGATGCCAACTTATTTATTATTCGAAAAAAGTCGATGATATAAAACTATATTTTTATATTGCGAACCTATAATAATAATAATAATAATAATAATAATAATAATATATACATACAGATTTTTGTATATATTGGACATTGGTTGGCATCGGTGTGAATTAATAATGTGAAAATCACCCCTTTTTTTATCATAATATATAGTTCTACATTATGTGAAAAATCTTTTATTTTGTTTATAAGTAAATTAAAACTATTGAAAATTTTAGGTTTGTTTTTTAAGGGTTGAATTTAATTTGGGGTTTAAAAATAATAAGAATTTGAATCACAAATAGTTTTAATAGGTTTTTTTATTTAATATCATAGTATATTATATGTCGATGTTGAATGCAATATCATTTAAGAAAAAAATATAAAATTGTGAAATATATATATATATATATATTCATCAAATATGTAGTAGGAGTGTAATTGGCTATAAATACACTTATGTTATTATTACTATAAAATAATAATTGAGTTGTATAAAAAATTGCATAATATATAAAAATTAAAAAAAAAAAAAAGGTCACATCATGTAACAAGAATTAGTTGAACAAATAAATATATATAAAAAAAAATTAGTTGAACAAATAATGTCCAAACTGAAAACTACCATACCGTCCACGCATTAAAGCATCCCATTAAATGTTTGTACTTTTTATTTTCGTAATAATTCATAATTTAAAAAATATTTACTTCGTCCCATATCTATGTTCATTTGTTTTTTCATAGAATTTAAAAATAATAGTATTATATTGAGATAAAGTAGAAATAAAAGTAAAAAGATTAAATTAACCGTATTAGTATTGTATGATATAAAGGTAATGACATTTGTGTAATATATTGTAAATTGAAATGGTATTTGTAATGTAAAGTACTGTACAATTACTAAAAAGGAAAATAGATACTTTGTTATGGGATGAACCAAAATGAAAAAATGGATAGATTGTTAAGGGACGAAGGGAGTATACATGATCTTTTTATTTTATTTTTTTCAAAAATTTATTAGTTAGTTTGTTCATTTTGTATTTTTAAATAAATATATTTTTTATATTAGATATAAAAAAAATTATATTAGTAATATAAAAATAATATGTTATGTTGATTTGCTAAATTTTTGTAAGTGAATAAAATATATATTATATATTAGGTTACCAAAAAATTTTCTCCAAAACAATAATATATTACATATTTATTATTTTTATATTATCTACGTGATTCTTTATACTCCATGTAAAAAAGTAATTTTTTGAATAATTTCATAAAACAAACAAACCCGTTAGTGTTCTTATTTAATTTTATAATTTTATATATTTTTATTGTGAATTATATATAATTACGAAGATATGGTGAAAAATAATTTTTTTATGCGTACATATTTAAAATTATATGTTCTATTATAGTATTATTTAGTAGTTTTTTAAAAAAAATTGTATGGTCTATAAATATTTAAGTTTTTTACAATTCATAACAACAAAATATATATTAAATTATTTTTGTGAAATTTTGTCAGTGACTTTTTCTATACTGATGACATTTATGTGACAACAAGTTAAAAAAATATATATATCATAACAAGTAAAAACTGCAACAAAATTGTTAATTTTTTGAAATAGTAATATTTATGTAACAATAAGTTAGATAGTAATATCATTACATTTTCGTGACTTTATATTTTTTTAAAAAAAGAAAAATTATTATTATATTATAATTATTGTTCAATGCTATGAATTATTCTCGAAGTGATATGCTAATCACTAGTATTGTTCAACTTATAATTATTAAAAATGTGACACACCAACTTAGTATTTCTATTTATGATTTAAATAATTGATTGGTTTATTTTATTTTATTTTTTTGTTTTTATATTTTTATTATAAAAATATTATTGGTTATAAATTTATTTATTAACAATATATACATATTTATTTAATATATTATCATAAATTTTTAACAAAAAATTGATTTCCTCTATTAAATATTAAAAAATCTTAAAATTATTGAACATATAGTCATATACTCCTATAATATATATTGTGTTATGATTTTTTGAATTTTATTCATTTGTTCATCATTTATCTTTATTTTTATTTTTTAAATTCAATTATTTTTTTAAAAAATACTACGGAGTACATCACATATAATTTCAAAATTAACAATATATTTAAATCTATTATCCATTGGGTAACTATAAATAGCTAAATATTCGATTATTAATATTTGCAATAAATTAAATTAATATTAATTAAATAGAATAAAAAGTAAATAGAATTATTTATAATTGTAATCATAAATAGTTATATTTTGTTAAGATATATATATATAGATTAAGATTTTTTGAATATTTGGACACTTATGTCATAATTTAGAATAATCATGAATAATTATAAACATTATTCAATTACAATATAAGTTTGAAGATGATTTTGTTATTTTGTTGTTATTTTAATCAATAACGAACAATAATAAAGAAGTTAAAGGCAATTTTTGTTACTTATGCCGTAACTTCTTAAAAAATTATGGAAATTATATCATGACAATATCTGTTATAATTTAAAATGTTATAAATATTTTTGTTATTTGTGTTGCAACTTAAAAAAAAAAAAAAAAGGAAAAATAAAAAATTGTGACAATTTTTGTAACGAAATAATCAAAAGACATGAAATAGAAATTTTTTAGATATTTTTATTACATCAGTCGCTACTTTAAATAATTGCGAAAAGTTAATTGTAATTTTTTTTACAAATATTACTCACGGAACCGTCAAAGTAAAAAATTGTGACATAAATTTGTCACAAAATTGCTTTGACTTTTAATTATCGCAAATTAAGATGTGCGTTAAATTTCCGGAAATATAACATTTTTTTTTCTAATAGTGATCCTACAATATTTTTTTTCTTTTTGGCATGTAACACCTTGCAATATTTCCATAATACGAAATAATTAACTCTACTTAATTTTTACACCATATTTTATTTCATTATATCGCTCAAATAATAATAAAAAATTTATAAATATATCTTTCTTTCTCATCGCCATCACTTAATTCCCAAATTATTGTTCTTAATACTATCTACTTAAATTTTCATGCCGAAATCAAATATTACATCATATTTGGGATGGACAGAGTAATATTTTACTATTAGTTAGTAGAAGTATGTACGATGATTTTGACATTTTTTACTTTTGTATTTTATATATAAATTAATTGTATGTATAATGGTAATTTTGTAATTTATACAAAAGTCAAATTTATTTTGATATTAGTGTCTGAGCACTCTTACTATAATATGAAATAGATACAATTGAGTGAAACAAACAAAAATGATAAAATAATAATATTTTTAGTTAGGACAAAAGAAGTACTCCATAACTTTAGTTAATATTTAATTATGCAAAATTAACTAATTATATAATAATTTAGGAATTATAATCATATCATTTAAGTAAATATGTATTGGTTCGTTCTTTTATCATTTAAATCAAAATCAACATTACTCACTTTACACAGATTTCAATAAAAATATATTATTTTTTTTATAAAATATCACATCAAAATACTATTTAAATAAAAATTAAAATCAATATTTTATTTCAACTCAATTTCAAATCACAAAAAGAATACTATCAAGATACATTAGTTTTGCTATAAAGTGTTAATTAAGATCACTAATAAAGATTTAAAAAAAAAGTATAAATTTTAAAATATGATTAAAATATATAATTATATTTTTTTAAAAAAAAAACAAATTATATAAAATTGACGGAAAAGAAAAATGAACATTTTATTTAGAACGAAAATAAAGACCCTCAAACACAAATAATGTCGGAATAGAAGGAACATGACCCTACTCAACCCGTTTTGATAAACAAATATTGGACAAAACCATATGGTTTAGTTCCCCTAACCATGGTTAGGTTAACTATAATAATAATAATAATAATAATAATAATAATAATAATAATAATAATGATAATAATAATAATAATAATATTGGCATCAATAATTGACCGGACACGTGGCATCATCCAGGTTCAATGTCAATTATCCATTCGGTTATTTTAAGGTAACGTTTAGCTGACATATATAATAAGAGTGTGTTCGACTGCAATTAGGTTGTTAAGAGTGATTATGAAGACATTGTTACGCATTAATTACGTTATATATATATATATATATACACGGGGAGAGTTTCAGCGCAAATATAGAAATACAACATGTGCTGTTTGTAGTAAAAGTATGTATTATTTGTTCATAATTATAGTGTATTGTATAAGAGTATATCATGCGTTAAAATCAATTATTGCATGCGTCATGTGTCAGTTTGTTGTACAGTGTTTGTATTATATTAATATAAATTATGTGTTACTAATAATAATACTATGTGATGTTGGTAATAAGTTGTATTATTCAGTACAATACTAAATTTTTAAATTCAACATTCTCGTTATATATATAGTTTGAAATATTTGATACTAATAATAATAATAAGAAGAAGAAGAATAGTAGTACTTCCTTTCATTCGTCCACAAATTAATGTTTTATTTTTCTATTTGGGACGTTCAACAACTATTATCCTATTTTCTTTTTTAAACACAAATTTTACATTTTTACCATTCATTTATTTATTACTTTTAATCTCTACCATACAATTAAGGGCAAATTTGTCAATTTATAACAAAAAGATAATCACCTAAAAAACGTGCAAATATACTTTAGGACAACAGAAATTTGACGAAGGAAATATCAAATAGTTTATAAAAATTTGAGGTATAAAACTTAAGGGATATGTTTCTTTCGCCCAAAATCTCAGGTTTTTACTATTTTGACTCTTCGTTTTCCGAAAAAAATATTTTTTTTTTCTTTCACAAAACATTCCATCGTACATTAGTTTAATATCAAACTCAAACCAATTTTTTTTCAAACCCATATAAAGAAACATAGCCAAGGTATATTATAAAAGAAAAAAAGTACTAAAATTGAATCTATGTATTATATCCACAAGAGTATATGAACAATAAGATTTGTAGAAAAGTAACTAATAATATCTCAATAAATAATAATCCAAGACATCTCATTTCATATGAAATGGTTCGATGAATATTTTTTTTTATGTGATGTATAAAAAATTATATAAATATTTTTTTAAAAATA